ACTGAGTTGTAGAGTTGGAAGGAAGCCCTTGCGATGATATGTATACATGGCTTCAAACATCAGTGGTGGGAGCATGGTGGATGAGGAGTAAAAGCATCATATTCTTAATTTATCTAGGACAAAGCCTCATTGAACTCCATGAGACTTACTTTTGAGTGCAGGATTGCACTGTGTAAATTCCTCCTCCTCTGCTCACAACGTGATTTAAGACAAATACAGACCCATTGCCCTTTCACAAACTTGTTCAACCTTCCCCACTGCCATTTCTGTATTAAGGCACCCAGAGCATTAAATTACTTAAGAGGGTTAATGACTAAAAAGTCTTTTTAGCTGCCAAATTATCAGATCATTTTCTGTGAAAATGAATGAGAATCATTTGAGGGGTTTCCACAGCAACATTTATTCCTACGAAAAGAGAAGTTGAAGCCATTTTTAGAACAAATGATGACAAACTTACTGCGCAATTTCCAAAGCAGAGAAAGCGGCAAGGGGCATAGTATAGTCCAGGATGGCTCTGCAGTGATTTGGTCTGCAGATGCAGGGCCACCACTGCAGTGTTGCCCAGCTCCACTTCTTGGCCCTCATTCTCTGAACCTGGTTGTTGACAGCTTGGGGGCTGGGATGCAGATGGAGGGATGTGTCCCCTTCTAAATGGAGGTGTAGCATTGAGGTTCTATAAGAAGATCTCTGCCAAAGGCACATCTAGTCCAACATTCTGTTTTACAGTGGCCAACCAGATGCCTATGGGAAGCCTGCAAGTACACAATAGCCCTCTCCCACCTGTGATACTCAGTAATTGATAATTGCTTGGATGGCCATCTGTCAGGTATGAGTTGGCTGAGATTCTTGCACTGCAGGCATTTGATCTAGATGACCCTTGGGGTCCCTTCCAACTCTACAATTCCACTGTCTCTGAAAGTGGAGGTAAAGGATTCACACTAAGGAGGTCCTGTGGAACATCTTTGGGGACCCCAAAAGAAGATATTTGTTCATATGGTAATAGTGACGAAGATGAGGTTGTCTCTGGGGACAGGGCCAATTGTATCAACTGGCAAGGGCAGCAACACTGGGACTAATATATAAAATGAATGGCTTCTTTAAGAGCTAGTGAAGCTCCATAGCTAAAATACGACTTATGAGCTGAGGAACACCCAAGTTCAAAACGGCCTAGGACCCTTGTACCTACGGGACCGCCTCTCCTGGTATGCCCCACAGAGAAACTTACGGTCTTCAAATAAAAACATCTTGAAGGTCCCAGGCCACAGAGAAGTTAGGCTGGCCTCAACTAGACCCAGGGCTTTTCGGCGGTGGCGCCGATCTGGTGGAACACGCGGTCACAAGAGACCAGGGCCCTGCGGGACTTGACATCTTTCCGCAGGGTCTGCAAGACAGAGCTGTTCCACCAGGCCTTTGGGCAGGGCACAGCCTGACTCCCTCCCTCGGCAATCTTCGTGGAGCTCTGGCCCAGGCCCAATGGTTGCCAGTGGCTTGAATTAATTCATTTTATAATGAATGATTTTAGAGTGTTGTTTATGCTGTACTTTTGTACTGTTTTATTGTTGTTAGCCGCCCTGAGCCCGGCTTCGGCTGGGGAGGGCGGGATATAAATAAAATTTATTATTATTATTATCACAGTAGACATGAGCTCAGAAGCAACTCTATTGTAGGAGTAACCAACCTTTTGAGGCCTGTGGGTACATTTGTAAACAAGAGAAGCTACCATGGAAACCACAACCAAGCACACACTGTAACCTATCTTGTTTCCTACAAGAGAATGCTAGTTTTAAGCCTAGTTTCAGTGGAAGATGGATAGAGGGTGGACCCTGTGCACATCAGGGAAGCGCTCTGGAAGCACATATACACTGGCAGGTGCCAAGTTGGCAACCTCTGCACAGGAGCAGCCTTGCTAATATGCTGCCCTGTGCAAGGCCATTTGACGCCCTTCCCCCAGCCTTCATGGCACTGGCTTAAGCCAGGCTTTAGGAAGTGTGGGATGTAACATAAGCAGTCAAGTACAACACTTTCTGTTTGCCCAGAGTGGACACACAGGGGGGTGTTACTCCAGCCAGGAGGACTTCCTGTCACACCTGGTCTGGAGCTTCCTCCCCCTGTGTGTGACCAGGTAGGGACCATGACCCTGGGAGACCCCATAAAAGGGCTAGTCACGCAGCCATCTCCCTCTTTTGACTCTTCTTCTTCTTGATGCCATGCTCTTGTGATACTGATGTATTTTGCTGTCTGCTGGCTCTCAGCCTCTAGGACATGGGCTCATTCCCATATGGGATGAATTCAGACCCTTTTCTGTAACTCTAAGCTAAAGCCTGCCTTTGGGGATCCAACTGTGAACTGAAGGTGAGTAAACTTCTTATTACTTTTAAAAGAAGACTGTTGTGTCTTTATTCTTCTTAGGAGGGATAAAAGGGGACTTACCAAGAACCAAACCCAATCTGAACAAAGCCAGATTGGATCACTTAAGTAAAGAGATTCAAATGAATCTACTAATTAGCTTCCTGCTATATATTGGGGAATGCACTCTGCTGCTGACTCACAAGCGTGAGTTAGGAAGGATACTATTAAATCAATATATCCTCCCCTACTATCCTTAACATTCCCACAGGAAGGAGGTGCAAAACTCTGGCAAGGTCCTAGAACCCTCACACCTCCTTCCCAAAGCCTGGTAAGCACTTGGCCAGTTTTGAGAAAGAGACAGGTGGACTTTAGGACCCTGTCAGAGCTCTCACACCTCCTTCCCGAATCTCAGCAAGCACTTACAGTGGTACCTTGGTTTAGGAACTTAATCCATTCTGGAAGTCAGTTCTTAAACCAAAGCATTCTTAAACCAAGGTGTGCTTTCCCATAGCTGCAGGGGACTCAATTTACAAATGGAACACACTCAACAGGAAGCAAAACATGTTCTTATTCCAAGGCAAAGTTCACAAACCAAAACACCTACTTCCGGGTTTGCAGCGTTCTTAAACTAATCTGTTCTTAAACCAAGGTACCACTGTACTGGGCTTTGAGAAGGAACCCTCCTCAGCTGCACACACAGTGTGACTGCACCTCATGCCCTAAATCTGCCTCTGCTCTGCACTCAGTTTCCATCTGGGATACAGTGACAAAAATAAAACTGACTAACCCTGCAGAGCTACTGGTGCATGAAGTTTCAAATGCTGGTATATAAATGCCAACACAACAACTTTGTTATTTCATGCCAGTGACTTCTGCCACCCCTGCTTATTCCACAGCAACAGCCTTTTCCTCCTTGGTCAAATATTATGTTCAGGGCTGAACTCTGAAAAGAATGCTGGACTCTCTTGTGAATGAATGTTTTCCCCAGCTGCACAATCCTCTCGAAAATACGAGAGCAGAGTGCTGGGCTAAGTACACTTTGCTTCCCGTTCTAATGCTCCCTTGGGGGCTTAAAACAAAATTGTATAAACACCATCCCAGAGTGGGAAGCGAGTGCTCTCTGCAGCCATTCTTTTTAATATACAGGAAACCAGTATGAGAGCACAATATAAAAATTGACCTTTATGCTTCCTAATGATATGTAGGAAATCAAATGTGTCCTTTTCTAAAGGAAACCTTCTACCTCAAATGATAAGTTATGGGAGATAACAGAAAGTTGACAGGCATGAATTGAATTGCTAATTCAGGATATCATTGCATTCACGTTTTCAAAACAGGAGAAACAACCATTTATTATGATGTCATTATTCTCCCCAGAGTAAGATTTGAAACTAGTATTTAAAGCTTCCTGTTTAACACCTGATTTTTTTTATTTTTTTAAAATGCTCATTTTTGTATAAACCAGTTCCTCTCTATTGTAAGTCTTTATTCAAAATAATTGCTTGCAAAGAAATTATTACAATTATTACAAGCTGTTTTAGTGTTCAGAAAATGTGTTGAAATTGTTGACAAGCATATTCTATTTCTTTTTGCAACTTATTTAAGAATGATCATTGGCCAATAGGCATAGTCTAATTGTCAAAGTCCTATTTATCTAGAGGAAAGTGCAACACAGTGTCACAGGAAACCCCCCTCCCCAATCATTCAGTTTGTACAAACTCGACACACACAAACACTCAACACGACATACGCTACACATCTGTTATAAATTCATAGAAAATCAACCATACATCAGATCTGCACCGTTCCACTTTTATTTTACTCCATGAAGGAAGGACTACAAAAAGGGGAAGGTTTGATACAGGGCAGCCATAATCTCTTGAGCATACCAGCACATACATAGCAGCCCTGCCCAGTTGCTATGCCAACCCTGATGGTCCTAGACAGAAGACCATCAAGGTCACAAAGGACTTGCATATGGGAGTGGATTCAACATGGACTGGAACAAAGGACAATGATCAGATCTTCCCTCTGGGGGCAGGAAACTGCCAACTCCGCTTTGTCCTCTGGAAATGACTCATGGGGAGGGGGAAAGGAGGAACCAGCCAGGTGACAAGATACTCAGGTTACCTCCACAACTCCTCCCTCAACCCCTCCTTTTTGTGATGTGTCAATGATGTAGTCATGATGTAGTTGTGATGTAGTTCTAGGGGTGTAGTTTGGGGGATTAGTAACTAATAAAAGTTGGGGTCTTCTTTTGTTCTGGACTTCCATTTTGCTTCATCTTGTTGCGGGTGGGAGTCCTGTCGTGACAGTCTTCAATAAAGACCAAGCCTGCTGGCTGCTGTTTTGCTCTGGTATTCCTGGCTGGTGTCTTTGTTTTTTTTGTCCAAGGGAGCCCTCGGATTTCTCCGTTAACACAGGAGATACTTAGATTTGGTGTGGGAAGTGTGTGCGTGGCCATAAAGAAGAGAAAGTACAATAATTTGAGACACTGACATATAAGAAAAGTTCTGTTGGATCAGGCCAAAGGCCCATCAGGTTCAGTGCCCTAGCCAAATGATCATAATTAGGACATGAGATCAACAACCGGGGTGTGCAGGTATATTAAGCCCACAAGTGTTCACCTGAATAGGGCTTATAGAAGATCGAGCTAGGATAGCTCAGCTGGTAGAGCATGAGACTCTTAATCTTAGTGTCATGGTTTCGAGCCCCATGTTGGGTGAAAGATTCCTGCATTGCAGGGGGTTGGACTAGATGACCTTTGTGGCCTCTTCCAACTCTACAATCCTATGATTCTACAAAGAATCACATGTGCAAATGAGCTTGGCAAGAGTAAAAACATTCAGAGAAATGTCAAGATTTCCAAATGTGCAATCTCTCCTCCCTCATGGATTTATTCCAGATTCACAGCTCCTTATTGTTAGAATAACTAAATCAAGAGCAGGAGCATAACTGGTGAAGGGAATGAGGAGTTTGTCACTTGTGTGGTAATCCCCAATGCAAATAGCAGCTTCATAGCAGTAGCTTCTCTTCAACTAGGCCTTTGGCTGATTAATATTCCATAGCCTTTTGCACGTGTCTATGGGAAGGGGTTTTGCTGGTTTGTTTTTAATTATTTGCTTGTATATTCCTGTATTTTATCCTGAGAACTGTCCTGAGATCTTATGATGAAGGGTGATATAGAAATTGAATAAATAAAATTAAATTTTAAAAAATTGGACAGTGGGGTTGGGATTCTAAGCTCTGTGTTTAATGTAATGTGCAATTTGACCCGCAAGACTAAATATTGTGAGGAGAGTTTTTAAATTAGAAATCATTTCCTCATCTCAATTGTCTTTAGTTGAATTGTCTGGAGAGGCAGTGAGGCTTTATGTACTATCCCAAAAGTGAAGATGTTTAAAAATGGGGTTGGGGTGGTATGGTTTATTTTCTACTCTTGCATCTATATTGTTGCTCTTACCATCACTATTGCATGGACCCATTGAGTGAATGGGGAATAAAACAAAAGGAAGGGCTTGTCGACACCTCTGTTCAGCCTGCTGCTTTCCTCCAGGAAAACTTGTGGTTTCCCACTGAATTGGGTCGAATGGCAACCGGGTGTTCCACAAATCAGATCCTCCCTTAAAGAGGGCATGTATTGTGGTGAAACCTGGACACTGACATCCTGTGTTGTGGGTGGGTACGATTGGTCACCCACAACACCTGATTGGTAGGGGTCCCTCATAGCTGGGTGCAAGCTGGCCAATGGGATGCAGTCGAAACGGTTTGAGGGACCTATTTATACCCATGCACGTGACCCAGAGCTTCCTCTTTCGGCGTGTGCATTCGGAACACCTGCCCACCTCTCCCTACTTTTAGGGCTTTGCGCTTGACCTTGCTATGCCGTCACGTGTCATCTGTCGTTGGGACAGGGGCATGGCAGGAATTTTCCCCACTTAGCTGATTGGCTGTTGCCATTTGGGTTTCACCTGCCACGTAGCAAATCGTCACAATTTGTAAGGTTGCGGATAGGCTCTGGTTCAGGTGATAGGGATGGGAGAACGCTCTCGTCATCCTTATGTGAAGGGTATTCCGTTAAAGGAATCCAGGGACTCGATGGTTTGGTCAACCCCTGAGAGGAGGTTGTGCCTGTGCCTGAGTCCAGGGGGACATTTGGGTGGCAGAGATAGCCTGTCCCTGGCTTTCCGCTTATCCAGGTGTTCACCCTTGGCTGACCTATGCTGGAACCCTGGGTCAGCATGGCAGGGAGCTAATCAAACCAGAGCCTATGCAACCATTCACTTTCTGTAATCAATAAAGTTGTGGCCTAAATTCTGCCAAAAACCAAAACTAAAATTTGAGTCAAGTGTGTATTTATTTAGGAGGGAGGTTTTTGGGTCTGAACACACAATTTGCCATTTGTTCGAATTCAGTGGTAAAGAATTTTCCAGGGGAAAGTTTCAGGGCAAATGCAAAACTGCTCAGACCCATGCTTCCTAGGCATGGAACAAGCAGAAGGGTGGACCAGTATGAATTCAGTTGCATCCAAACCAAACAGGCACAAGCCAAGCTGTTCCTCTTGCACCCAGACATTCAGAGCACTCTGTTTATTCAGCAGAGACACTTCAGTTCTGACCCCTGTCATTCTAAACCCAAGAGCAGAAGGGAGACTCAGGCAACAGGCTCCCGACTTGAAGCAACCAATTAAGCTCATCTTTAAAATGAAAGCAAAGCCAAATCAACAAACAAACACGGAAAACAAAAGCCCTTGACAATTTAGTAAACAGCCTCAAGTGACGGAAACATTTAAAGGTCAATGATAATGCAGAGTGGTTAGCTAATCTCTTTCCCACAGCCACAAAAGTGTGCTTTTGTGTGGAGGGGAGGTGGAAGGGATCCAATCCAGGTTACAGGGTGTGTGTGTTTTAAAAAAATCCAATGTATGTTACTCAGACTGTGGCTTTTGCGGCAGATAGATAGCCAGATGGGCATGTTTGCTTTACTTCTTTGAATGATCCAATGGCGTTTGATGCACTTGAGAAAGTCAAAGAGGATTCCCATACACACACACTTGGGACCAGATTAAACATTATGCTAAGCACACTATGAACTCCATCTAAATTGGACTGAAAGCCCCTTTGTTTGGAAAAGAGGGACACTGTCATATAGGGTTTCATTTTATTTGTTTTCTGGGAGCTGGGGGAGGCTGATTTTGGAAGCACTGATTCAGCACATCCACAACTGCTTTCCCCTAAAGATCACACAAGGATCTGCTTAAGTTATCCGGCAGAATCTATATGAAAATACACTGTGCAGACCCTGCATACGCTGCTTATTGCTGCCTACACTTTAGAGGGGGAAAAGGAGAGAAAGCACCAGTACCAAAGTTTAAAAGGAGAGATGGGATCTCAAAGGTGCATTTTTTTAAAAAAGAAAAAGAAAAAGCTTGACACATTTCAACTTGTTCTTCCCTGGGAGAAGTTGGATGCACAACTCCTATGGCCTCAACTGTGCTCTGTGATGCCCAAGTGCAACTAAGGAAGAATATATTTGAAATACTTTTGGCTCTTCACTGTTTTGTATCTCTTCTTTTACCCCAGTTCTTACTTAAGCACCACAACAGAAAGATGTACCAGTAGGTGAGGACTACACAGTACAATGAATGCAGGGCTGCCACTGAAAATGGCAGCTCTGTGTCAATTTCTGCCCTCCGCTCCTTTAAGAGCAAATATAATTCCTCCTGTTACATTATCTCATGTTATTGCAGCACACATTTCTCTTTGCCCCACCTGTGGCAGCCAACGGTGTGGAATTGTGGGGGGCTGACCAAAATGGCATCAGGACATTCAAAATGTACAATGTTACAGGAAATTGCTGCAGCGCCGCTGTTTTTCAGCAATGGGTCTGCATTTATGATGGCCTTATTTGACAACTCACCTGCTGGCCATAGGAGACCAGGAATTCAATGCAGGCCAGTTCTTCCATGTAGGTAAATAAGTGAGAGAGGAGAGGTTTGCTTTGGTCCCTACCTTGCCAGCATGCCTGTGGAGGAAGGGAAATCTTTCCCCATGGCCATCACATAAATACAGCAGGCAGGCAAATGAGGAGCAGGTTGCTTCACCACTCCTGCAACAGTCTGCTTGGCAATAATAATAATTTTATTATTTATACCCCACCAATTTGGCTGTCTTGTTCCAGCCACTCAGGGCAGATTCCAACACATAAAAACATAATATAACACCAGACATAAATAAAAAAAACCTTCCCTAAAGGGAGCTGCTTTCAGATGTCTTCTAAAAGCTGTGTGGTTTTTAATCTCCTTGACATCTGATGGGAGGATGTTCCACATGGAGGGCGCCACTGCCAAGAAGGTCCTCTGCCTGGTTCCCTGTAACTTTACTTCTCACAGTGTGGGAACTGCCAAAAGGCCCTCAGAGCTGGACCTCAGTATCTGGGATGAATGATGGGGGTGGAGACGCTCCTTCCAGCTGAGGCCTTTTAGGGCTTTAAAGGTCAGCACCAACACTTTGAATTGTGCTTGGAAACATACTGGGATCCAGTGTAGATCCTTTAGGACCGGTGTCATATGGTCCTGGTGGCTGCTCACAGTCACCAGTCTAGCTGTCGCATTCTGGATTAGCTGTCGTTTCTGAGTCAGTTTCAAAGGTAGCCCCACATAGGGCATATTGCAGTAGTCCAAGCGGGAGATAACCAGAACATGTACCACCATGGTGAGATAGTGTGCAGGCAAGTAGGGTCTCAGCCAGTGCACCAGATGGAGCTGGTAGATAGCTTCCTTGGACACAGAATTGACCTGTGGACAGCTGTGAGTCCAAAATGATGAAAGGCATTTCATTTTTACTAACCTGCCAAGACACTGGTCGTCTGCATTTTGGTGCTGTCCCTCTTCTGTGGCCAGTTTAGAAACACCAGTTACAAGTGTCTTCATAGGCAAGTCAAATATGTTGTGGCCTAGCAATTTTGATGGACTTATTTACAAGGTTGGTTAGTACTATCCTTGAACACGCAAGCATAAATGTGCCAAATCCTGCTCTCTGTGCTGAATCCTACTAAAACACTCCCTAAAGTTAAGACTAAGGCAGTATTTCCTATTCATCAGATGACAGCAAGGCACTGGCCATACCCACTCTAACATCAGACCAGCTCAGCCAATGGCACAACTGCCCCTCTGTGACACCAGGCAACCAACACAAAATCCCTTAGTCTTAGTGCATAACAAAATATATTTTTCCAGTTTAGGACCCAATATTCTCAAAGTCCCTTGAACTCTGTGAAAGCCCCTATAGGAAAGCGGCTTCAGGATTTTAGCCAAAGGGTTACATATTCTGAAAGCATATTTCCAAGCCTACCTTTTTAAAAAAACATGTTGCGGATTTCAGCAAACCTTAAAGCGCCTTCGCTCAGAAATTAATTACTGTTTGTACACCATTCTGACTTCTTTAGATAAAAGGCCTTGGGAAACTGCAGCCTACTATGACTGCCACGAGCATTTATATCTGTTCGTTGAAACGGCTCCTTTTAAAAATTCTTTTCTGCTTCATTCAAAATATAGCCATGAGTCTAATTACTACAACAAATGTAACTATCTGAAATTCAATCAGATGAAAAAATAATGGGAGTTTAATTTTTCTAATGAGAATTTTATGAAACTTCTTACTCTACAAAGAGACAATTGGTAGCAAATTGGATTGCAGAACCTCACAGAACAATATGACTCAGGAA